AAATAAAGATACCTAACTGTTGCATATGTGTCTTACCTAACAATCTGTCGGTATTTTATACCATTTTAATGTTCCTCCCTGTCTTCCATTCATCAACAACAGCCTTCAATAACGGTAACTGTCATGTTGAATGTTCATTCTTTTGTGCATGTAAATCTATCTTTTAGGTAAAAAAAAATTGTTGTTGATACTTCTGGGTGTCTGGAACGAATTAATTGGATTTACACTATTTCTTATGGGGAAAATTGATTCGAAAATCATCTATTTCGATAATAGTCCAAATTTTAGGAACAGATTAAGGAAGATAATTGAGGGACACCCCTCCCTCCCCATCTTTTTTTTTTTTTTTTATACAGGGTTTGACAAGGTTAAGGATCCCTAGCTTTATTGACAAGCTATTTACAGGTTAAGGATTCCCAACTTTATTGGCAAGCTAAGAGCTGTTACCTACATCAGCTCATTTGAAAGCATTTTTATTGTTATGAGACATACAAGTAGGGAACAGGATGAAGTTGGAGCCATCTGTGGGCCAGCTTTTTCATTTGATCAACTGACTTTATCTCGTTGACATCATTATGCTGTACGAATGTGTTCCATACTCGAGTCATCATGGGTATATAGGATCTCAGATGGAGTGAAGTTCTGGAGAAGGGTACAGCCAGAGTGAAGTTGCTGTTTTCTGCCCGTCTTGTGGCATATTATTATTATTATAATCAAAAAGAAGCGCTAAGCCACAAGGGCTATACAGCGTCTTGTGGCATAAAAGCTTGTTTCACGCTGTCCTCGAAGTGGATCCAAGTGTGGTACTTTGACAATATTGGCTTTGTACATAACAGTAAGGCCACCCACATCCCTCCTATGTTGAAGGCTCTGCTGAAATGACACATCTATCCAGGATGGGTCCAGGCGAGAGATGAGACGTCTTGCTCTGTTCTCTACTCTGTCAAGCAGTCGCAGATGAGAAGGGGGGCAGGCAAACCAAGAAAGTGGAGGATACTCAAGGTGCGAGCGTACTTCTGCCTCATACAGAATCTTGCAACCCCTACTGTCAAGTAGATCAGGAAATTGCATTTTGGTAGCAAAGTGTTTGGCAAAGAGGTCTGCTTTATCTTGACTACTGGTAGAGGTGGTCCCATTCTGTCGATTTAGAGGTGGAATGAGTTCATCAGGCAGATAACCTTATCTGTCCTTGACCAGGGACTACCAGGTTCTAGAGCCTACTCTACTTGATGCTAGCTTTCTTTTTGTGTCCACCTCCCATTTAGAGATGGCCCACTTTTGATGTTACCCATATGCCTACAGGCTTGCGTGTGCAAGTTCCTGTTATAGGTGGTAGGATGTCTCTTATACCTTTGCCATGCCTTGTACTTAGCAGTAGCAGTCTCTCTCTCTCTGTCTCTCTGTCTCTCTCTTTTTACACATAGCTTGACAAGGTTAAGATCCCTAGCTTTATTGACAAGCTATTTACAGGCTAAGGATTCCTAACTTTATTGGCAAGCTAAGAGCTGTTACCTACATCAGCTCATTTGAAAGCATTTTTATTGTTAGGGGGTGTGTGGACCAGGTGTTTACAGTGAAACATATAAGTGAACAGTATTTAGATAAGGCTAAAGAGGTCTTTGTGGCATTTATGGATTTGGAAAAGGCGTATGACAGGGTGGATAGGGGGCAATGTGGCAGTATGTTGCAAGTGTATGGTGTAGGAGGTAGGTTACTGAAAGCAGTGAAGAGTTTTTACGAGGATAGTGAGGCTCAAGTTAGAGTATGTAGGAAAGAGGGAAATTTTTTCCCAGTAAAAGTAGGCCTTAGACAAGGATGTGTGATGTCACCGTGGTTGTTTAATATATTTATAGATGGGGTTGTAAGAGAAGTAAATGCGAGGGTCTTGGCAAGAGGCGTGGAGTTAAAAGATAAAGAATCACACACAAAGTGGGAGTTGTCACAGCTGCTCTTTGCTGATGACACTGTGCTCTTGGGAGATTCTGAAGAGAAGTTGCAGAGATTGGTGGATGAATTTGGTAGGTGTGCAAAAGAAGAAAATTAAAGGTGAATACAGGAAGAGTAAGGTTATGAAAGATTGGATAACAAAAAGATTAGGTGATGAAAGATTGAATATCAGATTGGAGGGAGAGAGTATGGAGGAGGTGAACGTATTCAGATATTTGGGAGTGGACGTGTCAGCGGATGGGTCTATGAAAGATGAGGTGAATCATAGAATTGATGAGGGAAAAAGAGTGAGTGGTGCACTTAGGAGTCTGTGGAGACAAAGAACTTTGGTCCTTGGAGGCAAAGAGGGGAATGTAATGAGAGTATAGTTTTACCAACGCTCTTATATGGTGTGAAGCGTGGGTGATGAATGTTGCAGCGAGGGAGAAGGCTGGAGGCAGTGGAGATGTCATGTCTGAGGGCAATGTGTGGTGTGAATATAATGCAGAGAATTCGTAGTTTGGAAGTTAGGAGGAGGTGCGGGATTACCAAAACTGTTGTCCAGAGGGCTGAGGAAGGTTGTTGAGGTGGTTCGGACATGTAGAGAGAATGGAGCGAAACAGAATATGACTTCAAGAGTGTATCAGTCTGTAGTGGAAGGAAGGCGGGGGTAGGGGTCGGCCTAGGAAGGGTTGGATGGGAGGGGGTAAAGGAGGTTTTGTGTGCGAGGGGCTTGGACTTCCAGCAGGCATGCGTGAGCGTGTTTGATAGGAGTGAATGGAGACAAATGGTTTTTAATACTTGACGTGCTGTTGGAGTGTGAGCAAAGTAACATTTATGAAGGGGGTTCAGGGAAACCGGCAGGCCGGACTTGAGTCCTGGAGATGGGAAGTACAGTGCCTGCACTCTGAAGGAGGGGTGTTAATGTTGCAGTTTAAAAACTGTAGTGTAAAGCACCCTTCTGGCAAGACAGTGATGGAGTGAATGATGGTGAAAGTTTTTCTTTTTCGGGCCACCCTGCCTTGGTGGGAATCGGCCAGTGTGATAATAAAAAAAAAAAAAATTGTAAAAGAAGTAAATGCTAGGGTGTTCAGGAGAGAAGTGGGATTAAATTATGAGGAATCAAATACAAAATGGGAATTGACAGTGTTGCTTTTTTGCTGATGATATTGTGCTTATGGGAGATTCTAAAGAAAAGTTGCAAAGGTTAGTGGACGAGTTTGGGAGTGTGTGTAAAGGTAGAAAGTTGAAAGTGAACATCGAAAAGAGTAAGGTGATGAGGGTATCAAATGATTTAGATAAAGAAAAATTGGATATCAAATTGGAGAGGAGGAGTATGGAAGAAGTGAATGTTTTCAGATATTTGGGAGTTGACGTGTCGGGGGATGGATTTACGAAGGATGAGGTTAATCACAGAATTGATGAGGGAAAAAAGGTGAGTGGTGCATTGAGGTATATGTGGAGTCAAAAAACGTTATCTATGGAGGCAAAGAAGGGAATGTATGAAAGTATAGTAGTACCAACACTCTTATATGGGTGTGAAGCTTGGGTGGTAAATGCAGCAGCGAGGAGACGGTTGGAGGCAGTGGAGATGTCCTGTTTAAGGGCAATGTGTGGTGTAAATATTATGCAGAAAATTCGGAGTGTGGAAATTAGGAAAAGGTGTGGAGTTAATAAAAGTATTAGTCAGAGGGCAGAAGAGGGGTTGTTGAGGTGGTTTGGTCATTTAGAGAGAATGGATCAAAGTAGAATGACATGGAAAGCATATAAATCTATAGGGAAAGTAAAGTGGGATAGGGGTAATATTTAGTGAAGGGATTCAGGGAAACCGGTTATTTTCATAGAGTCGGACTTGAGTCCTGGAAATGGGAAGTACAATGCCTGCACTTTAAAGGAGGGGTTTGGGATATTGGCAGTTTGGAGGGATATGTTGTGTATCTTTATATGTGTATGCTTCTAAACTGTTGTATTCTGAGCACCTCTGCAAAAACAGTGATAATGTGTGAGTGTGGTGAAAGTGTTGAATGATGATGAAAGTATTTTCTTTTTGGGGATTTTCTTTCTTTTTTGGGTCACCCTGCCTCGGTGGGAGACGGCCGACTTGTTGAGGGAAAAAAAAAAATTTATAGTGCCTGGAATTCCACTGGAATGAATTAATTTCATTTCAATTAATTTAAATGAGGAAAATTGACTCTGCAAATGAGCAAATCCAGATGTGAGCAAGGTCACAGAACAGGTTAGTAGAGGTTCCACTGTATTTCCATTGTGATATGTTATAATTCGTTATATTTTTATGGATAGAGGACAGTCTGACATAACACATTCAAAAAATTTGCTGTAAGCCATATGAGATCAATCCATTTTGATCTTTATGGAAATTAAGAGGATGGGTTGATAATATATTTTCTAATAAATTAAGAAAATGAAGCAAGCAAAAAAAAAAAATGAACATAAGAAATGGCTATTAGAAATGTGTCACAGAATTATCATATTTGAGAAGGTAACCAAACAATAATGCATTTACACAACCATGTACCATTACCAAGTGTCACACACATTTTGTAGTGAACTATCCACATATAAAATAATACATTTGCTTCAAAACATACAACATAATCTATACTATGGCTAAGATCTATTACAAAATTATTATCTTGAAATATTGATAACTATTATGCTATAGTAATATTTTCGGATTCCTGGAACATCTGATAGGTTTGAATAAAAAGATACAAAATATATGCACTAACAATAAGTCGTTTAAAAGTGATACTGTACCTACCACACTACAACAAAGATATATTCAGTGCTACTCTGCTCTAAAAGATATGACAAACTTTTACATGTGGCAATGAAAGCTCTATCAATTACACATACACATGCCTATTATAACCATACTGATAGAAGTTAAATTTCTATATTGAACTACATACTCCAAGTGGTATTAGAGGAAATCCATTAATCAAAATAAACACACCCTCAATTAGAGGCACTACAAATCCTTCATTAATAAAATCTAACACATGCATTTATAATCTACTTTTTTTATATGCCTGTAGACCTTGGATACTTACGTTTGAGCTGAGAAACATTGGCCTCAGCTTGCCTGAGTTCATCCTGAGCAGTTTGAAGGCGATCTTTGAGAGTATGGATCTCTCTCTGTGTAGTTTCGAGGGCTTGTTTGAAATCAGAAGGTTCTATACTTAACATGTCAAAACCTGTGGGTGCCACAAAATTATGATTAAACAAGAGATTGGAGGAATGAATTTCACAACAATCACAACAGTAAAATTAAAATACCAATTAGTCGAGTATTAATTTGATTGTGGTAATGCTTGCATAAACTTCCCAGATTTAAATTTAGCCTTAAACAACAGTCTCTCCTCACATCATAAGACACACACATTGTTGACATATCCAAGTTTGGGCCTGCTTAGAACCCCAAATACATGCCAATACTTTTTATATATAGAGTAGTTCTGGTGCACCATTTTTTTGTTTTTGTTTTTGTGGATATGCATATCTGTCATCTTTATACATATTAAGAGCTGTTAGCACTTTTAAGCAAATTGGTGGAATAAATTACCATATGATGTGTACCATGAGCATAGGCTATTAATAAACACTAAAAGCACATACCAGTTATGAATTGAATATTTATGATAAACCCCAGCAGACTGCAACAAGTACAGCAAATAATGTATACTAGCAGCTTGCAAGAGGTGCAACAAATGTACACTAGCATTTTGCAAGAGATGCTGCAATGTACAATAGCAGCTTGCAAGAGGTGCAGCAAACAATGTACACTAGCAGCTTGCAAGAATACGGCCATTTAAGATAGAGATATAAATGTACAGAGTAAAAAAAAAAAAAAGTTAAGCAGGGAGGGAGGGGAGGGAGGGGAGGGAGGGGAAGGAGGGAAAGGAGGGAGGGAAAGGAGGTGGGGAGGGAGGGAGGGAGGGAGGGAGGGGACGGGAGGGGAGGGACGGAGGGGAGGACGGGGAGGGACGGAGGGGAGGGAGGGGGGGAGGGAAGGGAGGAAGGAGGGAGGGAGGGAAGGGAAGGGAGGAGGGAGGAGGGAAGGAGGAAGGGAAGGAAGGGAAGGAAGGGAGGAAGGAGGGAAGGAAGGAAGGAAGGAAAAAAGAGAAAGAAGGTAGGGGTGCTGAATTCTCAAGCTTTTCAATACCCTCTAGCTGAAGAAGAATTACCAATATATCCATTAGGGTGATCCACAAAAAAATGAAAGGTTGATTTTTTACTGTCACCCTCTCATTCTTTCAATTAAAAAGCATTTTATGCCAAGCTGTAGCAACCTCAAACTTTTTATCCCAATTAATGGTAATTCCCATTTTCTCTCTAGGGATAATGAAGTCAACAGCACCCAGTCTTCATCTCAACAACAGATTTTGTCCATTATATCCAGAATCTATTAAACAAAGATGAGTTAAATCACGGTTTTACGTATTTGTAATAAACAAAAATCCCAGTTTTGTAAATGATAAAAATTTAATGTTGGGTCACCTCTAAAAGTCCATTTATCACAAAACACTGCAGGAATACTTTTAAGTCAAAAAGGAACACAATGAAAGGGAGGCAAGAGAAGTTCAGAAATCAACTTTCTGCCCCATCAGTGAATCACTGATGGGGCAGAATTGTTAAATTTATGAATTGTTAAATTTATGCAAATAACCCTGTATAAGAATACTGTTGTGGCCAGTATGTAGTGTGACCTGCAAGCATCAAGGTGTCAACCAGGAGTTCTAGTCAGAGACCAGGACACAAATGGTTAGTGATCCCTGCAAGCACAATTAAATTTAAAGATTGAAAAGGCAATAAATTTTATTTATACCTGAGGAATCTTTTACTGGTTTTATAAGTCCACTAATTTCACCATTTTTAATATTTTCATATTTAGCCTTCATGGCACTTAATTGCTCTTTGGTAAAGTCACTTTCTGCTGTTATACTTTCTATTCTAGCCATCAATTTATTTTCTTCACTAGATTTCTCTAACAATTTACTTTGTAGTTCCTTTTTCTCCTGTTCATAGTTTTCTTCTGCATCCTTTAATTGATCCTCAGCATTCTGTGGAAAAAATAAAAGAGGTTATATAATCTGATCCTCAAGAAGCATCATATTAAATATAGCATGGCACAGTAGTAAACTGTAATAGTATAATCCAGTTAAACTTTACAGATAAGGTACCTAACCAAAGTATACAAAAAGAGATACAGTACAGCAATTCTAGACTTGTATTGCATCAGCAGCTGTCTGGTGGTGACACTAATTTGACCAGCATGTTCAAACATTTTTTATTTTATGAACATGTTAGTACCAGTACATCCTGTTCTAAACTCTTTAACCAGCCAACTCTTTCTCCCTCAAGTTCATGTATTTATGTATGTAAATATGAATGTACACTATACAATACAGTAATACTGACCTCAATGTAACCAATTTTTAAAGCTATTTTAATTTTTTTATTTTCAATGTTTACTGCAGTATATTTGTAAATTGCATATACAGTACTATATCACATATATGATAGGGTACTTTAGTGTTTTGCTATTTTTTTTTTACATCATTCTGATTTTAAGACACCTGGATAATCCCCCTTTTAGTCTGTTATATCAAGGAATTGTATTATGTAATTATCTGTTTGAGTTTATGTGAATTGAGCTCTAACTCTTGGTCCAGCTTTTTAACTTCTGACTGGTAAAATAACTACTATATTAAATGTATATAATACTGACAAGATGGTGCATAAGACATATGAAAAACTTGTGTAACATTATTTAATTGAGCATCAAACCATACCACAGGTGGGGGTAGAACCCATGGTCAGTCATAAAACTCCAGACCGATGCGTTAGCCACTGGACCAGCTGGCTACAATAAGGTTTATCCAACTAGGCATATTTATACACTATAGGAAGGTTAGCACAGGCACACTGTGACCACAAATGCAAGTTTTTTACATACGAATCTACCGCCAGGGTAGCTGTGACGAACTGTAGCTCAAGTCCCCTCAAAACAGTCATCCTTATCAACTGATAAAGCTGCAACTGGGTGAAACATTTCTTAACTAAAGATAAAGATAAAGTAGACCCTCATATTACACAGTAGCCACGTTCCAGAAAATGCTGTGTTAGATGAATCTGTGTTATATAAACTGAGGAACTTATGGCAAAAATAGGGTTACATTCCTGGGACCCCCAAAAAGCCAAATGACTTTTTTTTTTGACATCCAGATCTTACAAAAATAAATATGATAATATTGTTTTTGTTGCTTAAGACTACAAATGCAACAGAAATAATATTATTTTTTTTTTTTTTTTTTTTTTTTTATAAAAACCGGCCGTTTCCCACCAAAGGGAGGGGGGGCCCCCAAAAAGAAAAACTTTCCCCATCATTCACTCCATCACGCTTGCCAAAGGGGCTTTACACTACTTTTTAAAAGCAACATTAACACCCCTCCTTCAAGGCAGGCACTGACTTCCCATCTCCAGGACTCAAGTCCGGCTGGGTTTCCCTGAACCCCTTTATAAATGTTTCTTTTCTCACACCCCAACACGTCAAGTATTAAAAAACCTTTTTTCTCCATCCTCCTATCAAACACGCTACCATGCTGGGAAGTCCAAGCCCCTCCACACAAAACCTCCTTTAACCCCTCCCCCCAACCCTTCCTAGGCCGCCCCTACCCCCCTTCCTTCCACTCGCTGATCACTCTTGAAGTCATTCGTTTCGCTCCATTCTCTCTACATGTCCGAACCCCTCAACAACCCTTTCCCTTCAGCCCTCTTGACAACAGTTTTGGGGAATCCCGCACCTCCTCCTAAAATTTCCAAACTACGAATTTTCTGCATTTTATTACACCCCACATTCCCTAACATGCATCTCCACTGCCCCCCCTTTTCCTCGCTGCAACATTCATACCCACGCTTTACACCCATAAAGAGCGTTTAAAACTATACCTCAACATTTCCCCCCTTTCCTCCCAAAGGACAAAGTTTTTTGTCCCCCCACAGACCCTAATGCACCACTCACTCTTTTCCCCCATCAAATTTTAGATTCACCTCATCTTTCAAGACCCTCCGTGACCGTCCCCTCCCAAATATCTGAATACTTCACCTCCTCCTACTCTTCCCCCAAACTGAATTAATTTTCATCACCTATCTTTTTGTTATCCCCTAACCTTATTTTCCTGATTCCCTTTTAATTTTCTTCTTTTGCACACCCACCAAATTCCCCCAATCTCTGCAACTTCTCTTCAAATTTTCTCCCAAGAGCACAGGTCATCAAAAAGACAGCTGTGACAACCCCCCACTTTGTTTTGATTCTTTATCTTTTAACTCCACCCCCTTTTCCCCAGCCCCTCGCATTTACTTCTTTACAACCCCACATAAATATATTAAAAAACCACGGTGACATCACACATTTTGTCAAAGGGCCTACTTTTCGGGGAAAAAAAACCCCCCTCTTTCCTACATACTCTAACTTGAGCCCACTACCCTCGTAAAAACCTTTTCACTGTTTTTCAGAAACCCTCCCCACCCATCCCCTTGCAACATCTGCCACATTGCCCCCCATCCACCCTGTCATCGCCTTTTCCCAAAACCCTAAATCCACAAAGCCCTTTTTAGCCTTATCAAATACTTTATTTAATGTTTCACTGAAACACCGGGTCCACCCCCCCCTACCTTTCCAAAGCCCCTTGTTCATCTGCTACCCCTATTTTCCGTCTTTCTTAATTCTTTCAATTACATTCACCTCACTTTACCAGGTAACTCAACAGACTTACCCCCCTAATTTTTTGCACCCCTCTTTTTCCCCTTTGCCTTTATCCCAAAGGAACTAGCATGCCTCTGCCAACCCTAGTCCTTTTACCCTTTTCCCCATACTTTTATTAAATAATTGCCCCAAACCCCCCCCAAAACAAATTCCCCACCTGTTTTTAAAAATTTTTTACCATAAATCCCGGGCTCCCTTTACCCCCTTTATTTTCCTACTGCCTCACGAACTTCCCCCACACTCAAACGACTCTTCCCACCTAAAGGTTTTTTTTCCCCCTTGCCCTATACACAAATCAAGCCCCTATCTTCTAACTTTTAAACAATTCCTCAAAAAATTCCTTTCCCCCCCAATACCTCTACCTCCATTTAATAATCTCCTCCCTATTTAACTGACAAATCCATTTGTTCTCTGGCTTTTTTAAACTTGTTAATCTCATCCAAAAATTTTTCTTTTTTTCAACAAAATTTGTTGATAAAAAATTCACCCACTTCCATTTGCTCTCTTTTTCATTTCTTCACACCCTCTTAACTTCTCCTTTTTTCCATATACTCTTCCCTCCTTGCATCACTTCTACTTTTTAAAAACTTCTCATATGCTAACTTTTTCTCCCTTACTCTCTCTTTACATCATCTTCCACCCAAACCTCCTCTTCCCTCCGCAACCCCCTTTCCTGTAACCACAAACTTCTGCTGAACATCTAACACAAAATTTTTAAACCTACCCCAACCCCTTGACCCCCATTCCTAGCTTCATTACCCCCCCTCTATCCCCAAAGCGTTTATATTTACCCTAACTGCCTCCTCTTTTTATTTTTTAAAACCCTTTTCCTCTCTCCCTTCCCCGATGCTTTCTATTCCCCCTTTTACCCCTTACCTTTTACTCTCAGTGTAGCTACAACTAAAATGATCTGATTATCTGTGGGCCCCCCTATAAAAACATGTACACCGAAGTCACTCAAAAGTCTTTTATCTACCAATACATAATCCCAAAAAATACTGTCAAATTTTGCCCTAATCATATCGTGTATCTTATTATCCCTTTTTCTAAATTTTGTATTACCTATAACTAAACCCCCTTTTTATACAAAGTTCATCAAAGGGCTTTTCCCTTATCATTTCACCCCGGCACCCCAAACTTACCTCCACAAAACCCCTCTAAAAGTTTCTCCTTTTAGCATTCAAGTCCCCCCACCACAATTATCTCTCACTTGGGTTTAAAAGGGTCCTATACATTTACTTAACACTCCCAAAAAACTCTCCTCTCCTCTGCATTCCTTCTTCTCCAGGGGCATCCCCCTTATTTGACCCATTTCGCACCAACCTTTTACTTTAACCACATAATTCTTTAATTTACAATTTATATTCTCTTTTTTTCCTTCCATAAATGATCATTTTAAAATTACTGCTCCCCCTTCCTTGCTCTAACTCCTCAGATACTCCAGATTTTAATCCCTTTTATTTCCCCCCACTGAAAACTCTCTCCTACCCCCTCAGCTTTGTTTCGCTAAGGGCCAGGACATCCAACTTCTTTTCATTCATAACATCAGCATCAACCTGTTTCTTGTCACATCCGCACTACATCCACGCACATTTAATGCAACCCAGTTTTATAAAAGATTTTTCTTCTTCTCTTTTAGTAATTGTATACAGTAGAAGGGTTACTAGCCCATTGCTCCCGCATTTTTAGGTCGCCTCATACGACACGCATGGCTTACGGAGAAAGAGATTCTTTTCCACTTCCCCAAGGACAATAAGAAGAAATATAAAAGAACAAGAGCTATTTAGAAAAAGGAGAAAAACCTAGATGTATGTAATATATATAATGCATGTGCGTGTTCTATGAATGTGACCAAAGTGTAAAGTAGGAGTAGCAAATATCCCGTTTATCTTTAAGCGGTGTTATGAGACATAAAAAGAAACCACAATCCTACCATCATGCAAAACCAGTTACAGGTTTTTTGTTTCACTGCTCATCTGGCAGGACGTAGTAGTTCCTGGGTGGTTTGCTGTCCACCAACTACTACCTTAAATTGTGGTTGCCAGTGTATGTCAGTGATTGTGAAGAGAGTAGAGATGCATGGTGTGGCCCTACTGGGCTGAGGTGGATGGTTGTTGGTAGTCAGCAGAAGTGGATGGTTGAGGTTCTGGTACTAAAGCCAATAGTTGTATTGGAGTGTGCATAAATTCTGTAATGGATCTCTGGCTTCTTTTACCCTGCAGTACACTATACATTATTCCAGAAGCTTGGTACTGCCAGGTTTGAGTCAAGAGTCCACTGATGCAACTAGTTTTT